CTGATGAATATCAGATCAATCTAATAAGTATAAGTGTATAAATGCAAGAAAATTAAATATGATGAAATACATATGCAAAAACAATCTTGAAAGAAAAAGAATAGGCTATAAAAAGTGTGTAACAAACGAACAATGTATATTGACCATCAATTTAAGTGCAAAAAGTGCTAATTTGAATGCTACAAATGAATTAGAATGCTTTATATACCTCACTTAAGAAATCCAGCCATCTGATTGGTCGAATTGCATTCATAAACTTCAACTGTTCCTGTAAAATTCTCGGTAACCATGCATAAAACATTTCAATATTTTTAATAACCATGGTTATTAAAAAAAGTTGGTCAGCCTCCATGGTTACCCCATAGGTTTACATGTTAAAAAATGGTTTGAGCGATGGAGGATGCCGTATGTGTGCGAAGGATTGGTCGGTAATTTCAATACAATTGAATCTCGATCGATCTTACCGACAATTTTATCTTGCATTGTTGACATGAAGACGAAAATAAACTTCCAAAAACAAAAAAACAACATCTGCCGATAGATCTTGATCTAAGTTCGTGCCAATATGCATTGCAAAAGTAAAAGAAGAGTCCGTATATGGAGCTTTTGCGAAGCATTCATCACACGCGAAGCCGGTTTCAATCCATTTTAATGTATATATTGGAGAAAACTGCCAAGCATGTTAAAGGCGGGCCATAGCCGAGTGGTCTAAGCGTTGGTTTTCGGTATATCACTTGTTGCACGCAAGGGTTCGACTCCCGTCTTCGACAAATTGATAAATATTTTTCATTTTTCATTTTTTAGTCTATTTTTTTTCGGCATATAAAAGTATTAATGACTGCTTTAATATTCGAGAAATAGTTGTTTTATTACGCTCTCGGGAAGGTTACAATTGGGCTATTCCCCTCGGCAAGCCTCGGGGAATAGCACAATTCTAACCTTCCCTTGAGCGTAATAAAACAACTATTTCTCTCAAAGCAGTCATTAATACTATAAAAAGTACACCGTCGCGTTGTCAGAAAATCGTGTTGCGCCAAATCGAATGACCAAATAGCGAAAGAAGCACATTAGTGTACGTAGATTCTAACGAAAATTCCATAGATTTGAAAACTATAAAAGGGAATATAAACCCGAGATATACCTGACTGCACTAAAACCGTCGAATTTGAACGCAAGATAAATTAACTTGAATGACAAACTCGCGAATTTCGCCGGGATATCCTATACCAAACTCTGCGAGTGATGCTGGATTAAGCTAGAGACGCAAATTAGAGTTTGCCTCTCGCATTATCATAATTAGATATATCACCTAATAACATGAAATGACGGTTCCCCTAATTTGTGCTTTACAAATATGTAGTAATTTTTGTCATTTATTAATTATAATTGTGATTAAGTTATGATAAAACATCGATAATTCTCGGTTTCGTTTTTTCTGGGACGCACTGTATAGTGGCATAGAACATTGACGTCCTGAAGAAATATATTGTGAAATGTATTACACCCCGATGCATTTTATTTTAAATGTCTTAAGAAGGCCAGGGTTGTTCCCAGGGACGGATCCAAGGGGGCACGGGGGCACGTGCCCCCTCCCCCCCCCCCCCCCAGCCAAAAGAAATATGTTAAAATCAGCTCTAAATTCAGCCATAAATTCGCCCAAAATGTACTAACAATTTTTTTATTTTTTTTTATTAAAACAAACAAAAAATGCCAATGGCTAACCTAAAAAGGTGACCTAACCCCCCCCCCCCCCCCCCCAACGGAGCAAAATGTCAAATTAAAAAATTGTGTGACCAAAAAAAAGAAAAAAAAGTGTGCCCCCATAATGCATGAAATAAATGTGCTCTGAGCATTCATCCCTTCTCTCCCAGAAATGGAAAAACAGAGACAAGAACAAATGGGAAAGAGAGAGAGAGAGAGAAAGAAAAAGAGAGACATAGAGAGAGAAAGAGAGAGAGAGAGAGAGCGAGAGAGAGAGAGATACGAGTCGCATGGAGTAGAAAAGAAAGATGAAATATGAAGGAGAGAGAGAATGACAGAAAAGACGAAGAGCTCTGGGAGGGAAGAGATGAGGTAGATAATACAGGCTATCAAGAACAGTGATTGTGATAACACATCTCAAGCTTCAGTTGAGTTGATTAAATCTAAAGTCGATATGTCAGACAGGCGCTACAAAAGAGTTGCATCTGCTGTATGGATGCTACAAATGGATTGTAATGTACCAATAAGTATGTCTCGAATGATAAAGTTTCTATAAGCTAAGTAATAACTCGATTTCAAGATTGTTTATTAAACCCCACACATTTCAAATCGGTAAATCAAAATTCACTCCAATTTATCAAGATAAAAGACCAATTCATGAAGTACATTAAACATAAATAGCGGCCAAAGTATTCGATGTATAAATATGAGAAATAGAAAGGTTCATTGGAGAAAAAAAACACTCAATGAAACTTGCTATGGTGGTATTCGGAAAAGAGTTGCCCAAATACATTTACTAAACCCATGCTTTATGAGGGTTGGAGGCCGACCAATTTCTTTGTATAGGCTTAAATATCAAATTATTGTTCAAATTAATTTTTAATAGTCAACAGAGGCACATGCAATGAATGCCTTATTTGCACTTTGATCAAAACCAAGGTTAAAACATAATTTTGGAAAACAATTTTTGCGAGTTTATCGAAATCAGCCAATGCTCATTCAATCGTCAAATGTTGTCAATACTTTTAGTGCCATGAAATTAACTAAACCTTCACCAATAATTTCCTTAGAAAAAAAATCATGCAGATATCGTGAAATTATAATTTTGGTGGATATTTTCAAAGTGTGTTCCTTTTTATACGCACTGTGTGTAGAGGTTTCGTGGTCTAGCGCATACGTCTTCGGACTGTGGATCACGTGATACGCGGGTCAAGTCCTGCCGCGGCACTAATGCCCAGTGACAAGACATTACTACTACTACTAATAATAATATTGGTTTCTTATATAGCGCACGTATCGACCTTGCAAAGTCCTCAAGGCGCTCCAACATTACCCGGCTATGCTAGGCTGCCGATTTCGACGCTCACGGCATTTTAAGGAATTTCTTCCTACCGGTACCCATTTAACACCTGGGTGGAGAGTGGCATGTAGATCAATGTCTTGCCAAAGGACATTAATGCCGCTTAAGGGTCACTAAATTACAAATTCATGTTGACTTTTGTTGATCTGTAATAATATATACATCACATATCATTTGACTTTTTGATGTACATTTATGTCATATATTTTATATTATATGTTGTTCTACCTGCTAAGCTCCACCCCTAAACAAAAAAAACTTCCAAAAGCAAATGACTTTTGTGACATCATCATGCCATTCATTCATCAGTTAGCTAGATGATCAAAATACATTGGTATGTCCTTTTCCATCAACTGACCACCTGTTCACAAAAGACAGTGGTATGTCCTCACCCAATGGGTACCTTTAATTGCATGTAATACTAGCCCATTGAAACCCTTCTATCCATGGTGTTGCTTGGAGATACCTGACATAGCAACTGCTTAAAATGTAATTGAATTTTGTGAGTGGGCATTGAATAAAAACATGCAATGCAACTATAATTTGATTTGAAACAGGTAAATAGGGACTCATCAACTCTCGAGGAAACTTTTCTTTATCTTTCTTCCTTTCTTTATTATTTATAGAGTAATTCACACAAATATAAGCATTGCTTTTTCATTGGTGGATTTCTCAATTTATTTTAAAGTACGACTCAATTCTAAAAACAAAATTTCATGCCTGTATAATATCTTGTATCCTAAATTGCGTTCATTAATTATCGACATTTGATATTGTATATTTACAAATAAGTTTCATTTTCTATGAATTATTTTAAATGTAATTTGATATTAATTTTATGTAAGCATTCTTTTATATTCAGATTGGGTTTTTGAGAAATGAAATTATTTGAATTGAATTCGTGTGAATTGAATTGTAATATGCACTAATATTTGCGTGAATTTCACAAGGATCTAGGCTAAAATAACAAGTTTTTAAACGTAGCCTTTTCAATTGTTACACGGATTATAGGGCTTTGAATAGCCCTAGTGCACAATGATGCCTGACGTCTAAACATTGTCTAGCAAGCTCTAAAATAGACTTTGTTTCTCGTTTCAAGAGTATTGTTAAGAATTAAGCTTAATGAAATGTATTCAGTATTTTGTGTAGAGATAATGGTAGCAATATTAAACCAATTGTCTTTGTCTAACGAAATAAAAAGTCATAACTTTGCAGTTGTAACATGAATCCTTGCAAAATTCACAGGTAGTTCAGGAAACTATATTTAGTACAGCATCACCCACGGAATTTCATCGAGGATGAATGGGGATGGATGAGTATTTATTAAGACGTTGGCAATTAATTTCTCGTTGCATTTATTATGAGACACCCTATATACGACCACCATTCATACGTTCAGCAATTAACCGTCACTGTGAACATGACGGACAAAGAAGGAGGACAAAATAATACAGTTCCTCATTCTACCCTCAACAATTGCTGTGGTAGACAATGCAACATCCCTTCACTGCTATTTTGTAAAAATGTGTAGAACAGGTGAATATACCTTTATACATTCACCCAACAATCTGCCCGATTTGATCTCGTACGGGGCTCCCACTTGGCTCCTTAACTTCCTCGCTAATCTTGAGAAGCGGATCTTCACCTTGTTTTTGTAAAGTTCCTGTTCATGCTGAACAGCTGTGTTCCACCTTCTTTTCTCGATGAGGTCTTCATGTGTCAGATCTTCAGTCATGTAATATTTCATCCTGCACTATATTATCCTGATTGCGGTATAATACATAAGTGGCTTTTTTCCAAACAGCGATTGGTAGTTGTTGATTTCTTGTATTTTGGGCTGTATGCTGTTCAGTGTTATATGAAAAAAAAATTGTAAGTTTAATCAACCAATCGAAAGGTATAAATGATGGCCTTTCGAACAGACAACAGGCTTTGGTGATTACAAGGGAACGTTCTCAGCCCCTTCATACATAGGCATCTTGACTCTTTTGCCTAAGCTATTTGGAGTCTGACCATGAAAGAAGTATTCCCTATCAAGGGAGCGGACTTTGGTTGAAGCATCCACATAGTTATGCTGCATCATCTCGTAAGCTAGTCGACAGACCTGCGTTAAGAGAGAGAAAAGTATGAATTTTGTAGTTTGTGTAAATATTCATTCACTTATATTTTGCATAAGCGTGACTCGGTAACCTTGTTGAAGGTTGATGACAAAATTGCGTAATTTTTGTATGAAACTTTTCTTGTTATATTCCTTCTACTGTATTAACCTTCTAACATGCAAAAAATGGTGAAACAATTCTCAAACCACAAAGATATTTATGTTTTTCTTTGAAGGTGTCACTGTGCCACACCATCTAATAGTCCCAACCATTTTTGAATTTTTCCAACCGTTTTCCATGAAAATAAGACACAAGACAGGCTTTAAAAATCTTTCAACACTTAAATGTCTGAAATGGTATACAGAGCCAATTCATTGCTTTGTGAAGATTTACATTCACCAAAAAAGAAATTAAATTGTAATAGTATAGTTAGGAGAATTAAGGAATCGATCAGATCAGTTTTCCCAATTTTTATCATTAATAATAAGTCTATTTTCACTCAAACTTTCAGATTATCTTTAATTTTACATCTAGCATTGAAGTCAATACCTTAGCACCATTTTCTTTCATCTGAACAATGTTACCAAGTCCCTTTAATATACTTGGCAACCATTTATTAGGATTGTAAGTTTTCATAGTAGGCTGATTTCGAAGGTACTTCTTCTTTAAAGCCCCTCTGCATTACTTACAGCAGGTGGATTATACCTCCCTGCGTGGTCAGTGACAGGTGGTTATCTCATCAAATCAGCTCTCAATAAATATAAGGAAAAGGGGACCATGGGGAACCATGTTTGCTATATAAATGTCAGCTGAATAATTTTTACTGAAACCATATTGATTTAAATTAAGCATATTGTGTTTGTTGATAAATTTGTAAAGCCTAGTATATAAACAATTTTTTCTAAGACTGTTCATATACTTGGAAGTAAAGTAATGGCGCGCTAATCGGTCGATTTTAGTCAAAAAAGATTGTTCGATAGCTTAATTAATATCTTGACATTGAGAGGGAGCTATACAACATAAAGAGTGTATTATTTACAAGTTCATAACTTTAGACTCGGACCACGACAACGATCACTGAATATTGTAGGATCGCATATGCTTCCAATATGTTCATTTGAACCAAATTCATGACCCCCATACCAACACTTTGTATTACCTGGTGATTATATGCGATATTGACATCGTCTTCATTTTTAGTCATTTGTCCATCCCTCTAGAAATAAATCTTGGCTCAGTAATTCTTTATTATGTTTAGATTCTTTGCGATATAAATAGTCATCAAATGATTTAGAGTAACAACGTTGGCATTCACAACTTAAAAATATTGGGGGGGGGGGGGGGTGATCAGAAACTTCAGAACATAATATTCCCCCGATAGTTTTGTTCTTATGTAGGTTGGAAAAATATTATTAATCTGAGTTGATGAACGCAAATTACTTCTTGCAGGTTTATTAATAATCGAAAGGAAACCATATGAATACATTAATGGCAAAAAATTAGTTGAATTAGCATTATTAGGTGAGAGGAGGAAATTTATATCAAAGTCACCAGCATGAAAATATGTTGAAGATGTATATCCAGTTCATTATAGAATAAATCAAAATTAGAGTCAGGGGGTCTATAAATTAAACCTATAATGACATTTTTGAGATTCGAGTTGTCAATTTCAATAAACAATGATTCTGCTTGTGTTAGTTTGACATCAAAACGTATTTTGAATTTTAAAATTTGAGCAATATCGAAGGCAACGCCTCCACCTCTTCTTCCTTTACGACCTGCCCTGATCAACTGATAATTCGACAAATTAAATATAATTGGGGAATTTTCATGTAGCCATGTCTCATTTATACCAATGACGGAAAATGCAAGGTTATTTAAGGAGTGTAGAAGGTTGTCAAAATATTCGAAATTCCTGTTCAAACTTCTTGAGTTGATATGTAAAAGTGAATGCACCTGGATTATGAGAAACTGTATTATTAAATTCTAGGGGTGTGTACCATTGTCTATCGTGTATATCGTCAAGGAGAATGTCTGAAACCATTTAATGATATAAAAATGTAAAGTACCGGTAATTTGGAGAGGGATCAACTGCATGTCTGGTTCGTGTGCGTTTGCAAGTGCCAGCTGGTGTGTCCGTGTGTGTACGTAGTACAAGTGCATAGGTAAGTTTAATGTACCATACGATTGACAATACAATGAGACCAATCTTGGCCAGTTACAAAAGGTTTTTACAGAAGAGCAGAGCCCGACCACCTGAGCTAAAGGGGTGTTCTTTTGACACACGGAATAGGGGGGGGGGGGAGAGAGAAAACATTCATTAAAACCAATATAAAAAAAAATACTTGTCTTCAACCGTGTGAAAAGTGCACTTTTTAATAAAAATTTGGAAATACTAGTTGAATCTGCATTTTTCACCCCCCCCCCAAAAAAAAATAGAACAAAAACACGATTAGGTCATCATTTAGGGCACCACTTATTCCGAGAAAAAAAATCAAGTAGTAAGACATTCTTTATATTTCTTTTCACACTTCTTTTTTTGTCTTTCTCCCAATCTCTCTCTATAATGCAGAATAAAGGGTGCATGACTGTGAAGCTCGATGCCCATATATACGTCACAGCAAGCAGTCGAGAATAGGCCTTTACAGATAATGACGGGTGCCTAAGAGTTGTCACCAGTGGCGTAGGTAAGGAAGGAGGGGGGGGGGGGACGTGCCCTGGTTGGCTCCTCAAGGACACATAAAACACGGAAGAGAGGGGGTCTTCTGCTACCGTGCTAAAATGTTTGACTATTTACCTCCAGAGAGTTCGTTAAATTTGCCACCCTGGTGAAAAAGGAATGAATAAAAAATACCCCGGACAATTATCCTAGAAGGGAGTTGTCTGGGGCTAGTTGTTCGGGGTAGTTGTCCTAGGGGGTAGTTGTCTGGGGGTAGTTGTCCAGGGGGTAGTTGTCCTGGAGGGTAGTTGACTTGAGGGTGGTTGCCCTAGGAGGTAGTTGTCCTAGGGGTAGTTGACTTGGGGTGGTTATCCGGGGGGGGGGTGGATGTCTAGATACGCTACTTCGCAATAAAAACGTACGAGGCAAAGGATATAAGGATGTTTAGAGTTCCAATTCGAGCAAAAATCACCTCATATTTGGGCAGCGACATGCTCGAATATCGTTACACTTGGGTGCCTGAATATCATTATGATATGGCAACTAGGTCCCCGAATATTCTCCTTTTGTATCTTGGGTAGCAAATTTTGATGACAAATTAACAGTTTAAAGAGATTAAAATTGTCATGTTAGCTCGCTACGTTTAATCGCTCATACCAATCAAGTATTGTATTTGTTTCATGATTTTTAAAGTATTTTTTTAACTCCATTTTAGACTAGTTTTACCATATTGAATTGAACTGAATTGAATTTAACTGAATCTGTCATGTGACGATAGCTTATCATCCCTCTTCACCACCATCTCTTGTCTACTTCAGGCATGGTTGTATATTTCCACTTTGTGTTGTACTTTTGCTCTTTTAACTCTTTTATCTTTATTTTCTCTTTTTTGTACTTCTTTTTCATCTTTTTTCCCCCTCCTTCCATTTCTTCTTCTTCTTCTTCTTCTTCCTTTCCCTTCTTTTCCGTATCCTCTTATATGAATTTTCCATTGTCGCTCGTTCTACTACTTCTTCCTATACCCTTTCTCCTCTCAGCCTTTTAACACTCTTCCTCTGTAAAGCTATCCCACTCTTAATTTAAATAAGTTACAGTGTTTTTGCAAACGTTACTCCTCACCTTTCAGTTTTACTCTCGATTTTTTCCACCACATACACTTGCTCCGTTTACCGCTTATTGCTTACTTTAGTCCTTCTTTCACATGATTTCAGTGCTATTTAATGCTATTTAATTCAGATTTCTTTCTAATTTATGTTTCCATATGTTGCAATAAGCTAATCCCATCGTATTTATACTGATTTATTTTACAAATTCAATATATCATATTATGCTATGTTATATATTACATTATGTGTTATTAATTTTGTTTGTAAACTTTTGTAATTCGGCTAAACGCCGCGATGAAAGTTTTATTTGAAAGAAACCATTTTGAATGAATGAATGAATAAATCTGGAAAATAATAGAAAGATTCTTGGCAACAAAATGCCTTAAAATTGTCATATTCGGGCAGTGTGTAATTTTGTTCGCGAAGTAATATCCTCACTATACAATAAAAGCATCCCTTACTCGCGTGTACATTTATGTACTAATGTTTAGGCGAGGTAGGGGCGCAATTTCATTGGTTGCATCGGGTTGGTCGGTCGGAAATCGTTTTATTTTATTTTATTTTTTTTATTCCCTCTTTGGGCTTATATTTCTCAGTTTGAATGCTTTCATACACTTATTTCCTTCTAACAAACGGTAAAAATAAAAACTTTTTTAAAAAGACAACCGCAGATTTCAAGATTTTGGGGTCGGTCGCCAAGGGCAATACAATATCTTTTTTCAAAAGGCCTAATCGATCGCCAAGAGCTCTATAAATTAGGGTCATTTTCCCTCATATAACCCATGGACCATTTAGATTTTTTTCGGAAGGAAGACTTATGTTTTTTTGACAATTTATATTAAAAGGGGAAGATGTTGTATTTAAGGGGGAGATGACGTGGACTGCCAAGGGAGTAATATCAACCAGCGTTCTGTCCACAATATCCCATGCCCTACCTGACTCATTAAATTCAATAACACTTTAAAGTGACCCACCCCTCCTCCTCTAAAAACAGTAGATTTAATCATAATAACAATAATAATATATAAGAAGAAGAAAAAATAGGTTAAGCGTATTTTATGCTTTTTCAAGTTCATCGATATCAAAAAGTAAAAGGTAATTATATGAATGAATGAATAAACAGATAAGCAAAAAAGAAATGAATTAATCAATAGATAAATAAATTTATACACAAAATAATAATAACATTAATACATAATATACTGCAACAGAAATCGCAAAAATTCAAAAAATACATACATTTGAGGAGCACGTGCAAACGAGAAAATCCGAACGAGCCAAAAGATAAACATCAACGATGATACCCATAAAAGATTCCTCTGACAGTCGTGTTGATACTTTGGCTGACTGAGATATATTATTGTCACTCACAAACACATAACCAGGATATCTGTAAAAAAATAAAATTAAATAAAGTTATGTCGCAAATTATATCGCAGCAGTGACATAGTCGAGTGGTTCAAAATGCTCCGGCACGTAACTTCATGAAATGATTGTGACAATGCGATTTATTTTTCATTTATTATTTTATATGTTTCTAGAACTTTATCAATCAATCTCTATGACTGACTGTTTGGTTGATCTATAAAGTTCCGATAAGATATAAACTTTATCTATGAACAAAAAGGAAAAAAGGATATGAATTAAACCTTTTTATTTTATCTGCCAGCAGCCTCCCCCCCCCCCAGCAATCAAAACAACAAGCAACCTCCTGTAATGAAAACAAGAAAAATATTCAGTTCTTGTATAGCGCATACACATTGTACAACGTTCCTATATGCGCTACCAAAGAGCTTTGGGAATGATTACACTAGCTTTAATAGCTCGGGCAGCCGTTATCAGCGCACAGTACATTTCAAAGAACAATCCTACCAGCAGTACCAAGTACCCATTTACTTCACCTGGGTCGAGTGTGGCATATTCCAAAAGACATTAGTGCCGCGGCGGGACTCAAACCGCGGACCATGTGATTCACAGTCCGGTGACATATCCACTCGACCACAACCGTGAGAGATGAATTGACATTTCTAAAAACTTATATTCCTTTTGATTGTAAGTTCTGAATTTTATTTGAATTTTACTTCATCAAAAGTTACTTTCCAAAAATTAGATGAATTCATCCAATGTGGAATGATAAGGCCTTTGATGGGCTGAGTATATGGCCAATATCAGGGGCGGATTCGGGGCTGCCAAGGGGGCCTGTATCTCCCTTTCTTTTTAATTTTTACTCGCTTGCTTGTCAGATATCATTCTTCTTTTCTGATTACTTTACGTTGATGATAATCCCAATTTGTAGATTTGTTTCTCCCTTTGTAACTGTATATTGATAACTAGTATAGTATATTAATTTCAATCATTTATTTGTAATCTGTTTAGATTTTTTATTTGGGATTTAATTGTATACTGATGATAATCTAAGATCATTGTGGATTTCATATTTGTTTTCAATCAGACCTGCCCCCTCCCCACCCCCGACCCTCCATTTTGCTCGATAACTTTTTGTTGTTGTTACTGTCGTCGTATCTATTTTTTTTCTTTTTCGGTGGGGGGGGGGGGGGGTCGACTTTTCTTTTTAAATTTTGTTTCAGTGTCATTGCTTGCTTGTTAGAATTCAGGTAAAATTGAACCCCACTCCCTTTTTAAAAAAAATCCTGGATTCGCCCCGGAAGGTGTTTAAAGGTAGTATGTCCCATTTGCAGGCCAAAAAAATGAAAAGGATAAATTCCAACGGCATTTGAAAGATGCTACTAATTTAGAACTTCCCTAAAAAAGGTGGGGCTTGAAAATGTCTTCAAGTGGGAAAATAACGACTATTAGTTGTCAAATCGACTTAGGAGCTATAGAGCCAATAAGTAATAGTTTTGATTTTGAAAGCTTTTTTGAAAGAGTGTATTAAAGAGAAATAGAAAGAAAGAGAGAAAGAAAAAAAAATAGTGACCTGCCAGTATTACAAAATAATGAGGTATCAAAATATATGCTGATCTGACCGTGACTAAATGCCTATAATCCCTTAGCTTCTAGGGCTCCGTCCCCTGGACCCCACGCCAATTAGCGACCTGCCAGTGTCACAAATAAGGTATCAAAATATGGTTAAAATCATATGTCTATCCGATGGTTGGATAGACGTATAGTCGTATAGTCGTAAAGTTGTACGGTTGTACAGAATCATGGCACTTCGGCCCGCACGCTGTTGCATTCACATGTACTTCGATGGATGACATTCAAGATTTACCAAAAGACCTACGTGTTTCAGCATGGTGCTCTTAAGCCACGACTGTGTCCTAAACTCACTTTTTCTTGGCTTCTTCGAGCAGTCTGGCCTCGTCTGTTGCTAAGAAGATTCTCCTGACCGGCACTTCTTGTCTCTTCTCCAATTCCACGTAGAATTCTTCGGCGTAGACCATATACTCCTCGATAGCGTGAAATTTGGCTTCTTTTCTGAGTTTATCTGTCCGCCTCACTTGAATGCTTTCATTGGGGGAAAAGATTAACGTGAAATCCACTTTAGTCAAGAAGATACCCTGAAGAGCCCCAAACCCTCAGCTCGTTTTGTTTTGACTGGCAAAGCTGAGAATGTACCTTTAGTTATTTTTTGTTAATGCTATACAGGTATTGTTCTAAACAAAAAACTACGCGCAAGAGGCGACTCCAATAGTACTATTTGCTGAGGGGCGCATGGTACTTTTGGAGTCACCGATGCCCATAGTTTAACCAGTACCTCAAATAGAAGGCATGGTATATTTTGATTATATCCTGCATCAAAAAATAATCTTAACAAAATATTAAATAAACATTTTTTTTTGGGGGGGGGGGGGATTTAGAAGGAAAAAAAGTCATTTTTTATTGAAAAAGATTTTAAATATTTTGTTTTCATTAAACTAAGATTTGAAGAAGAAAAAAAATTGTTTAAAAAAAATAAACATATGTTTTCTCCCAAATAGTACTCCCAAATAGTATTCTCATAATACTTTTGCAGAGCAACCTTCAAATAGTTGAAATATTTCTGGTCACGTGACGAGCTCTCAAACAATCAAAAACCAATAATTTTTTGATGCATGATATAATTTGTGAAATCAATTAACTGATGTTAAAAGGATTGTCAAATATATTTGATTATTTGTGCTAAAAGTAAAAAGAAAAGAAAATACAAATAAAAGATAAGCGACGATGCATGCATACCGAGTACACATATTGCAACTCGTCCTTGCAATTTTACAAACCAATCGGTATAATTCACTTAGGCCGTAACTAGAATTTTTACTGGGCGTGCACACATTACATGAGGTGGACGTCATTGAGGGAGTGAGAGCGCAGAGCGCCCCAGGCCCTACCAGGGTATAGGAAAACTGTTTAAAGTCTACAATTCAATATTTTTTAGTTGAAATGGAGGGGTGGTGGAGCATAAAAAGAAAAGGCAATTTGGTAGGGAAAGAGGCCCCTACACATAATAATCACAAAATGTAAACAATGCAATATTGGCACATCATTGTGTATAAATGTACCTGTATATACCCATACAATCTGATGAATACAATATCGAAGATAATCTGCTACATATTATTATTTCACTCCCTATATCTGGATCTACATTTCTGCTTTCGCGTCATAATTTGCTAATGTTTGTATTGGCCTGATTTCCGAGCGAGCAATTTTTTGTAATAATTTGTGAGGTCGCATTAAGATAATATAACTGATGTCAACATACTTCACTCGATCATTTTAATTAAATAATTCCGTATACTATAAATGCGATCGAACGTAGAGAGCAAGCTTGGATGAATTTCACAAAATATTGCTCTCGGTTGCTTTAAATGATGGGCTCATGTTGTTTTGGGGATGAGGTGACGAAGTGTCGTGTAGCATTTATACCGATGATGGCCTATTTTCACCATGAATTATTTTAGGGTAATGTGCATGGCAGTTCCTTGGAATTTTCGAACCATTGCCACATTTTTTTTGTAATTGTCATTTTTTAAATTTGAAAAGGACAGATTTGTTAAAGGGACATTTAGCATTATTAGGGGAAAAGGGCACTCGATCATTATAAAGAAAGTGACACTGAGATTAAACATGTCACATAAACTACGACATTGCACAAATAGTCAGAATCAAACTGTAGGGTAACATATTCAGTTTAGTAGGGACCTTTATATTTACACGACAAGAACGTGGACCACCACGTGTTGTCGTTTTAAGGCAATGTGACGTCCTTTAAAGGCACTGCCGGGTACGGCCCAGTGCCTTAACACGATATCACACGCGGCAGTCAACGTTCTGGTCGTGTAAAGCTAAAAGTCCCTAGTACTAACCAAGTATCGGACCGTTGATCTGTACCGTACCACTGCAGTGTATACTTATGAATTCAAAATACTTATCCTGAGAAGTAGATAACAGACTTTGGCTGGAGTTTCGATGGGGTATCCCTGTTATACTTCGGTTGGTTGACTTGAAATTTATTAAGATTGGCCGGGAGGTGGGTGGGTGTACCGCCCATTTTTGTCTTGACACGCTGACCTGTAGTTTCTTTAGCGCAGATAGGCGAGGGAGGGGGGGGGGGGGGGGGTTAAAGGACTGCCACTCATCTTTTACCAATAGATTCCTCTACCACGAGTGAAAAGAAATTAAATCAAATCAACTCAATTCAAATCCAATTCATTCGTCTCACCCAACGATCGGATGTGTGAATCCTAAGGCCGCTGTCTCATTGTCCATAAATTCTTGGAGTTGAGGCTGTGGTCTCAGAATGTAGGTCATGATCTGACCTATCCACCAAACGGCGGGGTTACCATGTACTCTTTCCAGTCTCTCTGAGATGTCTTCTGGGATTGCAAATGGCAGGAAGTCCGGCCTTAGGTCCTGAGATAACCGGTGTACGACGGGAAGTACCACCACTTGGATGTTTTTATTTTTATCAGGAGCTATAGATGGAAAACAAGATAAATGATTTCCATTAATTCGGAAATACCAATTTCTACTACATGTTGCATAATTTTACAAACCGGTATTTTCAAAATCATCTATCATCTGATTTGTCTCCAGAATCGGTTTTTATTCACTATCCTATTATCACGACGATGCTGCATACTAGTTGGTTTACATCAATTAAAAAAAAATGAGAATGCGATTCATGTTCAAGACTAAAAGTTCATAGTTATCACTGACTAACCCACGTCTCTGTGATTTTTTTTCTTTTTCCTCAAGCGAGATTTTTATTTCCAAAATGTCAATACATATTAACATTAATTACTCAATGAAAGTATATTCAACAATTCTTCCAGCTTAGTATTATTTTCTTTGTTAACAAATTCATACCTTTAAAACAATCTTAGCAAATACTTGAATTTTTTTTAAATAGCATGCGGGTAAATAACTGAACTATTGACAGTCTTTTTAACGTTACATTTATAAACTGCATATTGCGCATGATATTTAGCAGAGTATAATTCTTGTGTCATATGTCCTTACCTACGACTAATTTATTTTGTTTGATTGAAAGTTCTCCTCGGAATAGGTGAAATATCAAATATTATTTTCCAAAAATTAATCACATCCTTGCAATACAAAAAAAATTGAAACGTTGAATAAACGAAGTGAAGATATTTTATTAGCAACATAAATCTCAATCAATCAACCATTTTCAATATTATATTACGTTTAATTTTATATTTTTTGGAATTCCATAAAAAACCGAACTATAGTCTATTCAGTATCTGTAAAACATGTTTGGATACTGATACAACAGTTGCTCAATTTGTGACGCCGCTAACATTTTCAAAACAGTTATTATACCATAAAAAGTGAGATCACCCATTTTCTACATATTTAATACATTCCGAATGTTATTCATTTTTACATTTCAGTTTAAATCTTGCAACAATTTCTTATTTCACCTACCTGTACTCGTATACATGTTTAACAGGGTGTTCCGTATTTATAATGTCATTTTCAAGAAAATGTGTATCTACAATATTCAGTTTCATAACTTCTTTCTTATTCCAATTTACTTTCGGACCTGCATAGTCTTCAACATATATAATTTCATTTATAATATATTGTACATCATTAACAGAATTTACAAATGATGTCGTATCACTCTGCATATTAGGAAATGTTTAAACTATCGACACCTTAATTGACACTGAATATATCAATATCTTTTTTTTAAAATTGGTCTTATTTTACATGCTAATATTTACACTACTATTTAACAAGAAAAGATGATAATGGGCAACCCTGGGGAACTTCTCTTTCAACTAATTATGAACCTTTTTGAAATCCATCCGTTACTCATCACACGACCAATGGCGTCAGTATAAAAGGTCTTTATCTAGGTGAACACTTTCAGTCGTGTATATTGCTTGGGTTCTACGAGTAGCTGAATACATTAGCCCTAATTTCTCATCGTCGTTATGTGCTCTCAATGTGTGCAGTTGATGTGAAAAGGAGAGGGGATGTCCCTGGAAAATTGCAACTAAGAAAAACATCCTTGAAAAAATGTTGTTAGGAATGTCTAAACACCCCATGACACATTATCTATGGAATGGTAATTGTTTGCCTCTAATTTACACATGAACGGGGGCGACGGAGCGTCTTTAAGGGGGGGGGGGGGGCACTTACAAAAAGGGCACTTTTTTAGATAAAAAGGTTCATCTGCAATGGGTTACCTCAAAGTGGAACAAAAATATGTAATGTTATTGTAATTACCACATTATCAGGGAGGATCTTCAGGATTTCACTGTTTGTATTTCTACAGGGTCGAATAAATTGCCTCAAAATCCTATTATGCAGTACTGGTGTGTTCGATGATCTAAAGAATAATTTGCCGGCGAGAGGGCAAGATTTGTGAGGTCGAGATGGCTCCATTCGCACTTCAGTAGAATATGATACTTTGAAGGGGCATATGTTACAGCGTAAAAAAAGGGGCGCAATCATTATGTCAAAGTAACCTGGCTAGAGAAGGAACACTTGATAGCGTTAAAAACGATTACGATTCTAAGTCTAAAAGGGGGACAGTCCGTTTTTCTGACATTAGGGCATTGTGCTCTCTGCCCCCGGTTCCAGTGCCTTAAATTGTGGTGGTTTGACGATGAGTGGCTCAAAGAGTCCTTGGAATATGAACATTGAGGCTAAAACATACAATTTCTTGACATCTCAAAAGTTTACAGCAATGAGGCTAATTACCTTTCATTTCATGGGAATTGACCTTTATGACATTTGACATACATACATATTCTAAATTATAAAATAAAGATTATCTTTTCTGTTATAACTTTCACACAATATTGAGTTTCAACTTTCAAACCTAAAACCGAAGAAATGGAACTATGGCAATTAGGTTAGCGTGCAGGATTTCTCGCTCGAATTTTTCGGTGTCTAGAGGCTGTCATATTGTAAACAAATAAACGCCTTTTCGCCGCAAGATTGCGCTATATCTCCCATCTCCACATCTCTGTGAGTATTATAGATACAAACAACGGAAGCTCGCAGTGCACTGCGGCCGTCATTAGTGGTTATACTAGCTGCGCCGGTAGTATTCTGGAGTGCACGCTGGGAGATCTGACCATTAGCTGCCTGTTATAACTTGTAAAGTTGTAAGAGGGAAATAATGCCGATAATGATGAAATAGCAAAGAATTTAGGAGTATCATGGGTACCACCAATTCAATGGAAATTTGTATTAAAAACCCCGGTCAGAACTAAAAGAGCCTCCGTGAGCCTTCTCACTTTTTTGTGGAAGATCCCCATGGACAAAAAATTAATTTGAGCCCTATGCACCACAATGTGTACGTCGTACCAATTGATGTGTGCAGTGCGTGCGATTTTCAGAACAAATACATGAACAAATTTATTTCTATTTTGACCATTGCAACACCCACAGTGTTAATTATGTACTTCATAAATCATTTCCCCCATTAATGATTGCTTTTAGACACTTTCTTTAATTTCACAATGTAATCGCATCATTCGCATGACCAGTCCTCCAGTCTAGCTTTGAATGATTGTTCAAAGCAAGACAGATTTATTCATCCTCGTATTGTTTGACGAGTTATATTTTGATGGAATAGGATGTTTTGGATTCCCAAGTGTTCAATACAATAATGTTTATACTATGTATATATAAACCTACAAGTGCTGTTCCTCTACTTTTCCCTGGTTTTACATCAAATAATAACTTGTTTTAGCATTCCGTTGCCATTGCTAGAACCCACAATCTACTTCCAATTATACAGTAACGCTATGTGCTTTAGAGCCTTTCCTCACATTTTGCGTAATTAAACTATGATATTAATCCTGAAACTTGGATATAAATTCACCATCCTCAAATAATGACAACAATGAAGACTCCGTTGCCCTTCAAGTCCAACCATCAAATCGTAATCTAATGGTCTAAACTAAAAACTAAATGATTTACTACACCACCCCTCCCCCATAGTGTAGTATACAAATAATGCACAGCAGTGAGGGCATTAATAAGAATTACCCACACACAGTACCTTTGGAACAGTCTAACGCCAGAGGAGATAGCCGAGGGTTTTTGGACTGTTTCAAAGGTACCGAATGGGTAATTTTACTAATTCCCGAACAAAATGCTGTGTATTATTTGTTTTATAAAATTATGACGTGGATCTTTGTTATTTGATAAATCACCCTCATCACCCTCATTTCTTCAGTCGAAAGCATTTCAAACGTAGGCGTTTTAAATTCCGCGTCAGCCATTTTCGCGGGTAAAAGTAAAACAATCAAATCTCAATTAATGATTACGATCGCAAAGCATGATCGCCAATGACCGGTCATTACCATAGGGTAATGACCGGTAGTTATCCAAATTTCGCGTTAGGCAAATTAAATACATGGTCACGTGTACGCTTTCAACAAAACATGTGATTAGGATCAACGTCATCATTTTATAAAATTCCTTACTTTATTCTTTAACTAAATGGAAAATATTGTAAATTTGCTCATACTTGACGATTAATAAATTTACCGATCATTTCCTAGCAAAAAAAATAGCAAAGTACTGTCAAAACAGAATAAACTAATATTTAAGTACACTGCCGCTCATAAAGTTGGAATATTTTTGGTTTACCCCAATTTATGGAATTATTTAAAAAATAATTTAAAAATAATAGATCTAGATAATAGTATACATTCTCAGATTTTATTGAATAATAATTTGCGAATGTGTGTTTTGCGTGACTGCTAAAGCACGTGTATGCTACTATGCTTATCATCTAAGGGACCTACGTCCTTAAGTCATGAATGACAGTAATGAGGATTAATGCCCCACAAAAGGGCACTGATATAGCACATTGACACGATTTTGATCCTGGTGACTTACAGTTACAGAGCATTATGGCTTAAAGCATGGGCACACAGAGGATTTTTTAATGTTGGGAACCGGGGTAAAATGCAATAAATTATTGAAAATTTATTGCATTTTCTGTGTTTTATTTTATTTATGGACACTGACCCCCCTACCCTAGCCCCCGCTACGTACATTGAAACCTATGTACATCAGACAGGTATGGAAATATATTTCATTTGAAATATAAACAAATCATGAATATTCATAAAATATGCAATATGCAAATAGGTCAATTCAGCTAATTATATATTCGCGCACTCATTGTGCAAATTAGGAAAGTCAAACCGTTCATGTGTTTGGCATTTTTCAAGTCTTATATTCATAGATCATATTTACACCAACTATTAACCTTAAATTCCAAATATTTTGGCAATGCCAACAAAATATGGCAATGGAAATTACTTGGATCACCGTCACAGCTTTTTCCTCATGTGTTTTACAAATTATTCAGAAAACTGATCATATGTTAAAAACTTGCAGACTTTCAGCTACATCACAGTATATTTCTATTTTTAAAAAAGACAGATTTAAGGATTTATGACGATTTTCCGAGAAACCATTCAACAGGCCATAACATTCCACACGGACTAAATTTTAGATCCCAGTACAGTTGTGGCCAGTGGCGTGATGAGCAAAAACGTTTGAGGGGGGGGGGGCTGACAAAAAAAATCCTAATCACCCCACTCTAACATGCAGGCCCCGCTGAATTACGTTTCTCAAGGTGGGGTCTAGGGGCAAAGCCCCCGAAGCTCAAGGGGTATGGGCATCAGTGGCGGATCCAGGAATTTCTTACCGGGGGGGGGGGGGGACGCATTTTCAGGCACTTCCTGGAGTAATATGACGTAAAATTGCTTTCTCCTACCCCTTCCAAGAGTAGGGATCTTTTGCAATTTGAGAACCACATTTGGCGCATTAATGTCCACCGGCACTTCATAGAAAAAAGAGGCCTTCTGATTGGTTAGAAGTTTAATAGAGAAAAGTGATCTGTCACGTCGTGAGACGTCGTATAATTTATGCTTTGATGCCGCACAATGTACAAAAACGGTGGTCCGGTACTTCACCAGTAGTACTTGCAAAAATTATCTCGAGTGTATAAACTGTGTCGTTATCAGGGGCGTCGCTAGATCTTTTTCAGTGGGGGAAGGGGGGTGTAGAGGCCGCCGATTACCGACAAAACGAGCCACCAATATTATTACCGACAAATATAAAAATGCTAATGTCCAAATGTCTACAAAATTAAACCCTTTAAACCCGGGGCCAGGAACTAAGTTATTTTTCAGTTTTCCCCTCTAGCGCGAAGCGCGAAAGCTTTGACACTTAATTAAATGATTAGAGAAAGAAGACGATCCTTTGTACTGTTCTCGACTCTCAAAGCTTGTTTCGCCCCTCCCGCGCAAAGCGCGGAAGCTATGACGTTTAATTTAATTATTAGAGAGAGAAGACGATTCAATGTACCGGTCCCGACTCTTCATCCTTGTCTGAATTAAGTGCCCCCCTCCCGCGCTAAGCGCGGAAGCTTTGACGTTTCAATACATTATTACTCTTAATCCTTATCTGAATTCATTTCGCTCATCCCGCGCGAAGCGCTGAAGCTTTCACGTTTCATTAAATTATTAGACGATTTATTAGACGATTCGTTGTATCGTGTTCTTGTCTGAATTCAGTTCCCCCCCCCCCCCCCCGCGCGAAGCGCGGAAGCCTTGACACTTTATTAAACTATTAGAGAAAGAAGACGATCCGTTGTACCGTTCTCGATTCTTAATTCTTGTTTCGCCCCTCCCACGCGAAGTACGGAAGCTATGACGTTTCATTTAATTATTAGAGAAAGAAGACAATTCATTGTACCGGTCTCGACTGTTAACCCTTGTCTGAATTCACTTTCGACCATCCCACGCGAAACGTGGAAGTTGTCAAGTTTCATTAAATTATTAGAGAAAGAAGACGAATCATTTATTTTCATTGTACCGTTGAACCGTTCTCGACTCGTTTTGACGTTTCAATAAATTAATGCTATTAATCCTTGTCTGAATTAATTTTCGCCCATCCCGCGCGAAACGCGGAAGCTTTCAAGTTTCATTAAATTATTAGAGAAAGAAGACGAATCGTTTTATTGTGTCTTTGTCTGAATTTAGTTCTCCCCTCCCACGCGAAGCGCGGAACCTTTGTCGTTTCATTTAATTATTACTCTTAATCCTTGTCTGAAATCATTTCACGTTTCATTTAATTTATAGAGAAAGAAGACGATTCATTCATTTTCATTGTACCGTTGAACCGTTCTCGACTCTTTATCCTTGTCTGAATTCCCCCCCCCTTTCGCGCAAAGCGCGGAAGCTTTGACGTTTTAATAAATTAATACTATTAATCCTTGTCTGAATTAATTTTCGCCCATCCCTCGCGAAACGCGGAAGCTTTCAAGTTTCATTAAATTATTAGAGAAAGAAGACGAATCGTTTTATTGTGTCTTTGTCTGAATTTAGTTTTCCCCCCCCCCCCCTCCCACGCGAAGCGCGGAACCTTTGTCGTTTCATTTAATTATTACTCTTAATCCTTGTCTGAAATCATTTTCGCGTTTCATTAATTATTAGAGAAAAATTAAGACGATTCGTTGTACCGTTCTCGACACTTAATCCTAGTCTGAAATTAGTTTCCCCCCCCCCTCCCGCGCGAAGCGCGGAAGCTTTGACGTTTCATTGAATTATTAGAGAAAGAAGACGATTCGTTGTACCGTTCTCTACTCTTAATCTTGTCTGAATTCAATTCACCCCCACTGGGCCCCTTAACGGTATATGTGCATTGTTACATGATGTAGGTATGGAACGCTCGTTCGTAAATCTGTGAATGCTCAGCCCGAGTGGTGGGTAGCATGTTATCTCCCGACAGTGCTTTGCACAGTAGCTTCTGGAAAGGAATTAGTGTTACTGTTAGTGGCCACTGGCCCTGGTGACTATAAAAAAACATATGCTCTTCCTGGCTATTAGTGGGAATGGGTCAGTTTGCAAGAAATAATGGAGAAACTATAGCATTTTGTTGAAAATCATATAATATCAGGAACATTTATTCATTACTTGTGAAAATAAGTCATGGTTCAATTTTATTTGGGGGGCTGGTGCCCCCCCCCCCCAAGCCCCCCCCCCTACCAGTACACCAGTGGTTGTGGCTGCCTTGCATGTAAACAACAATTTGATTTAATGAGTGAAACACATGAGGATATTGCATTTTTTGTAGGGGAGTTTTATACATTGAGGTGCATTTCTACCACGCAGAATAACAATGCGAGTCAATGGGCGATCAGCGGGCCATGTCACACATGGCTGAAAAGACACTATTCTAATTAAATAATTTAACATATTTCCCACATGCCTATAACAATGAAACTACACAGAATTGTAGTTAAAGGTATGCTTGAAATATATGATTACATTTTTAAAATATTGTTCAGTTTTTTTAAAATAAATTTACAAAAATTGCTATTTCTACCAACTGACTGCTGTTGTGTGTGCATTGGGCAGACTGTGTGCACAGGCAGTGTGATCACCCTATTATAAGACGGGGCCCTGTTACGACAGAGTACTATCATCGTTATCATTACTATTAATATTATTATTATCGTTTTCATCATTATCCTTATTTTTATTCTGATTATTATCATTTCCATCATCATCATTTTTATTAGCAGTTTCAATGAACTGTCCTGTTCCAGGATACCTACTTGTCCACTTGCCGGTGGTCTCTCCTTTTCGATCAAGGCAATTCTCACTGAGAGGACGGAAGAACTTTTCCCATCCCTCCTTCGCATAGTCCCACCCCTTGGACTCAAGGATGAGCGTTCTTCCAGTGCCGTATGCCATTATCATGCAGAACGACAAATGATGAGTCTGGCAACCGAACCCGCATCTCACTTTAAAGTTGCACACGATCTTTTTGGCCTTGCTACAATCTGGAGGGTTCTGGGCAAAAAAGATTAAGACGGAGAAATCACAAATTTTCCATTCTATTTACTCTTCCACATGGTTCCTTTATTAAAAAAAAATCAATTAGAGAGAGGGAGAGAGAGAGAGAGTCTATTGGGAGTCTATTGGGAGAAATGCGTATGGTAAAACCGGTCACTCAAAGATTTTTTTTTTTGTTCTTCTTTTAAATACATTTTTGAGGCATTTCGTGATCATTTTGAAGCAGAACTGTTTTAGGGCTTCAACGTTATACCACATCACAGACACTGATAACATGTAGGGCTATGCCTCTCAGATTTAACATTAGTAAACGATGCCTTTAATGGAAATGTTGATCCTTTTCCCCATTCGATAGTGCCTATTATTGCCATACAGTCGACTGCGACTGCGCAGGAAATAGGTAGTGATAAAGAAATGCTGTTTAAAATCAATTCAGACCAGTGCTTCTAAAGAATTCTAACATGCAGCTGCAATTTCAATTTACACATGCATTCGTTTATAGAACACATGACTGTGTGACAATTAGCTTGGACGATCTACATGTCGAACATAAATACAGATTTCTTTATTTGCCATATCCCTATACCTCTGCGAAATCTTTCTCCAATTAACAGATAAAAAATGGAAAAGACAAAGTAACAGTTTCAGTCAAGTGTACTTTGTACACCCTCGCCAATTTTAGTTGACCCTTGCTCTCTTCGTATAGAAGAGACAATTTCAGGTCCAATTGTAAATGTTAATGTTTTAATATTTTAGTAGAATTCTTTTTCCTCTAGTTATTGACCTCTTTTAATGAAATCATATAATAAATGTATATGTTCAGCTACCACAACTAAATGAGAACAAAGGGCGATCGCGACGACTGTCCGTAAAGTTATTTCAATACCATATTGTATTGCCCTTTGTTAGAAATCATGTTTAGTTGAAATCATGGTACTATTTAAAAAAGAGGACGCCGAGACTATTTAAATTGACTTTAAAATATTTCCGATCATGTTTTCGGTAGACCATTTTCCTGATGATATCTTTTCTTACATAAATATCTAGAGAAAAAATGGCCTTACTCTTACTATACCTGAATGAAGTGAAGTCTCTGCTGTATAAGATTTGAGAGCTTCTTCGACTCATTTTGTTTCCATGATGAACTTCCATCTCCTCGACTCGGAGTGTTGTCATCCGACATGATGTACCTGGGCAGAAATTCAAAAGATTTTTAATAGGTGATAAAAACACGTTATTCCTTTATCAGAAGACCTACCAAATAATGAATTAACAAAGACCACGTACATTTAGATAAGGTCAATAAGTTTATTGGACACAAGAATTAGAAGTCGAAACCTGTGCTTTAATTAAAGGAAATAGGCAGAACAACAGAGAAATTTTCCGGGGGCTGATTTTCTGGGGGGGGGGGGTGGTTACCCGGGGAATAACTTTCCGGGGCGGTGATTTTCCAGGGGGTAATTGTCCTGATACGCATCTGAGAAATAGTTCTCTTTCTCTCTCTCTCTTTCTCTCTCTCTCTCTCTCTCTCTCTGTCTCTGTATGCCTGTCTGTCTGTCTCTGTCTCTGTCTCTTCTCTGTCTCTCTCCCTGTCTCTCTCTCTCTCTCTCTATTTCTCCCTTTCCTTCTGTAATGCCATTTCCCCAGCAATTCTTTGTCTAATCAAAGTAGTGGATATTTTTTGCAGAGGTTGGGTAGTTCCCCCTTCCTATGTTTGTCAATATCTGGAAGATAGAAAGAAAGAGGCTAGGCGAAATTAGAGAACGGTTAATTACTTTTGTTCTTGGGCATGTTTCTTGATGTCTTTGTTCTGTAAACTGTCATTGTGGAGCTCCGTGCTACGTGAGCTTTGCTCGGAAGGCTTACTGTGCTGGTTAGACGAAGGAGATTGGCTTAGTACGATGAAGCTGACGATAAGCAAGGCTGTCGTCATCGACAGCATCAACTTGTACAATTTGTCCATTTCTCACAGCTATCCCTCGTTAGGCAACCCAACGTAATTCTGCTTTCTGCATTATAGATTAAGATAATTACATAGACAGTGTTAAATGTATCACAATAATGTCAAAGGTAATTAGCGTGTTACCTCTGTTGAAAACAGAAGGTCGTTTTTTCTTCTCTCCCCCCCCCCTCCTCATTTTCTTCTTCTTCTTCTTTTTCTTCTTCTTCTTCTTCTTCTTCTCCTTTTTCTTCTTCTCCTACTTCTTACTTCTTCTTTTCTCTCTTACTTCCTTGCTCCCTCTCCTCCTGCTCACCCTTATTCTTCTTCTTCTACTTCTTCTCCTCATTGGTTGGAAAGGGCACTCTGAAGGAGGGTCACTCTCGGAGGGCACATTATCGCCCCGCATTTATGTAAGGCTTATTTCACTTGGATTTGTAAGTACTGAGAAGAAGGTTTGCGTATCAAAGAACTTAAACAATGCACATGAGTATACTATTACAGGGCTCAATTTTTTTTTTGTCCACGAGGGCTCTTCCACAAAAAAGAGAGCCCCCGTGAGCCTTCTCACGGGGGTTCTTTTAGTGCTGATCGGGGCTCTTATTTTAATACAAATTTCCATTGAATTGGTACCAATGAAACTCCTTAATTCCTTGGTATTTTATCATTATCATTTATAGTAAGTCGACAATTTCCCTCTTAGAAATTTACTTATTGATTATTCGGAGCAACCTTATATACATTCTTTCTTTACCATATCCTTCCAAACACAGAGGCGGATCTAGCTTTTTTCTAAGGGTGGGGGGGGGGGGGGGTAACCCAAATACGATGTGGAGCATCGTCCATGAGCCGCGTAGTGGCGAGGCGATTTTTGTAGTTGCTATTTTGAACCCCCGTAAAAGATATTTTCCTGGCATCTACTAACATCTACTAATACAGTATAGGTCTGGCCACATGATAGTATTTTCTATGCAAATCACATTTTCACCTGACAGCCCAAGGGGGAGAGGGGTTAAACCCCCTAAACCGCCTAGATCCGCCCCTGCAACATCTTTGGTGATCTTCTTCTCAATATTGATTTACTTGTCGAGTTACATTATTTGCTGGTCTTTTAGAATAATTCTTTTAGAATGCTGGTTTTTTAGAATAACCAGATTTCAGAGAATTCACACTTTTCACAACGAAAAACTTCTCCTTGTTTCAGTCCTTGCGCGATCGTCTCCAGCTCCAGCAGATATTGGGCGTCAGCGTGCACACCGGTACTACCGGCAGTATAGCCACTGCTGAGGGCCGCACTAGCTGCACTGCGAGCTTCCATTGTTTGTATCGGTAATACTCATAGAGATGGGAGAGAAAGCGCCATCTAAGTTCCATTTCATTGGTTTAAGGTTTGCAAATTGATACTCAATATTGTGTTAAAGTTAAATCTGAAAAGATAATCTTTATATGATAATTCCACGGGAGCGATATTTAATTTTGCACTCGCCCCCGTGAGCAACCTGACGGGGGCGATTATGGAGCTCACGGGGGCGAATCGCCCATCGCCCCCGTGTATTTTCGGTTTATTCCCAATGAAGTAGCTAATATCTAGGCTATATTTCCGTTTTTAATTAATTTTGGACAGGTGTGTTATATTATCCCGCATGTATGCATAATCTAGTGATTTGTATTTTTGATAATGATAACAAATTCATGAGATGCAGTACATCCTACTTGTTGCTCCCACCATTGGTCTCTCAATTATGATCTTCAGATACTATTTTTTTCCTTCAATAATGAATTATCAAAAAAGGTAAATTATGTACATTTGTGACCATGATTTGTACCCGTATGGCGTCAGCACAAAGGTATGTGTTATGCTGAAAAACGTGCAAAATTACAAGACAATAATAAATATGAAAACATAATTCACCATGAAAGTCTAGAAGGATTTTAGTATTATTACTGAATTTCCACTTATCTGCATTATGAGAGATATACATTTATTACATGATTCCATGATCAATATTTGTGCTTTAAATTGTGCATACATGGTGACTCGCTATATGCTTCGAGTTTCTGACATTAACGTCAGTGGAGACACACCAACTGCCGCTGCATTACCAGAGGTGGGAAAATGTTAACGTCAACTGAGAGGCGGATATATCAAATCTGACGTCTCCCTTCCTCCCTTTTTCTTTTGTCACGGTTACGATCGGGAAAGGGTGTCAGCTCAGTCAAAGGCACGTGACTCCACACATGGCGGGAAAACTGGTAACAATGCAACGGTAATACACCACGGTTTAATTGAATGTTTGGTCATTAGAAACATGTACAGTACACAATATTTCTGAATATATCGTACAGTCTCACGTACAACAACTCTTCTAATAATTGAATAATAGAATCTATAGTAGTATTTATACTAATTAAAATGGGTCATTGGGGTGGATAGGCAGGTCTGGTACGATATATAGAATGAGCTTTATCTTGGAAACATTGGATGCGGTAGATTGTGATGACGGGGGAGATGACATGACGTAATAGAGCGAGATAGAGTAGAAAGAGAGAGAGAGAGAAAGAGAGGGGGTAGATGAGAGTTACATCAGTAACGAGTTCATGACTCTTAAACAAAGCAGCCAAACATGCCCATCGTGCCCATCAAACTACATAATGAGATTTACTCAATCTTCTTTCCTAATCAAGCAAGAATAGGAAAGGATTGCAGCTCCTCCCCAACTACGATTCTTCAGCGAGGAGATTTATCTTCTTTCATTTGAGTGATAATTCTTTCAAATGTTAAAGGTAATACAAAGTTTTGGGAAATTTGAAAATTGGGTGGAAAGTGATTCTTTACAATTTTGATATATTTGGATGCCCCTGTAGATGTATTATAAGCACGAGAAAAATTAGCCCCTATAAAACACTTCTCCTTTCGAGAAAAATCGAATATAAAAATTTGTGCTCCCGGTAAATTTTGATAAATTTCAAATAGCGCCTACGGCCGTACAATGGTAGCTGTGACTATGAAAATCTCAGAATATGTAGTGGTGATATATAATTTCTAAACGGGAATAGCTAATCGGTCGATTTTAGTCAAGAAACATTGTTTTATAGCTTAATTAATATCTTAACCTTGAGAGGGAGCTACATAACATAAACAGTTTATTATTTACAATTTCATAAATTTAGACTCGATTTCAACCGCAACAACGATCCCTGAATATTGTAGGACCGCATATGCTTCCAATATGTTCATTGGAACCAAATTCATGACCCCATCCCAAAACTTTGTAGTACCTTTAAGCCTGGTTCTTCCCTTTCTTAGTAAATTCATCCTAATGCATGGCAAAGATTTGATTTTTATTGTTTCCTTTGTTGGAATATTCTTGAGATGTAAAGATGGATTCTCTTTTCCTCGTAAGTGCATCGGAATGCATAGAATATGATTTACGAACAGGAAACCTAATTTTACAATGCATACCAAGTCTTGGCACTAATACCACCGACCCTAACTCGCTTAGCATCCACGGGGAGTGCGCGGGGGTGACAGTTGTGGAATGCTTCTGTGCGAAATAAACGACCTTCAATCAGTAAAATGATTTTTGAGATATCGAATCACTGCAGAATTCCTAACCCGACCCGAGAAAAACAAAATTTAGATGTGAAAGAAGATTTATCCTTTGATGGATATAGATGGATAAGGGCCGAGGGATAGTCCGTGATTTATTTGAGACAAAGAGACGCTTCTTATCAAAAAAAATAAATTCGCCAAGAGAGAATGCCTATGCTACATTTACATGTATGTAACTGTTCCTTGAATAATGCGATGTTAGGAGGAATCATAACTTACGACCAATCATAAGATTTTATTGGATATAAAAGATAGACATGTCTCTAATAAAACTCAATGGCACATTACACATTTTCATTATTGTGATCAATATTGTTATTTCGATTGTCAATTACAACATGGATCATTATAACTTAAATAATTCAGCAGTATCAGGCAATGTAATGGTAACTTCAATGTCTATAATGTTACATAAAATAAAACATCATGTCCAAGATTAGAAATTAGCATAAAGACCGAGTCCCTCTCATATATTCCAAAGCACATGTATATTCATACATAGCAAGATCTATTATTTAGTGACAGTATACAGATAGTCAAGCATTATTTAGTATATCTTTTAAAATATGCGTTTAAGAGTTTTATGTTTCTCTTAGCATTCTTTTATTTTGTAATCACTATGGTACTTTTTATTTCCAAAGCCTCTACATAATCGAGATTAGTATTATCGAACAAAATATTATTATCTATGTAAGGATTCCAGGTGGTACAATAAATCAGTGTATCTAATATCATTGGCGCAGTACTACGATAACTGATCAATATTGTTTTCGTATTGCTCAGTCATCCGGGAACTTCAATTATCGACATCGATATCACACGAAAACAAAGCTATATTTACCGAGGTAAATCAAAATGTGTTATTTCGCTAGTCAGCCTGATATAGATAATAATAATAATATTATATGGCTTTGTTTTCGTGTCATACAAAAATATATTGGTCTTGCTATGAAATTATTGGACTCGTCATTTTGATGATTCCAGAACCTTGCAGTACACACCAATACTTATATGCTAGATGATCAACCTTTTCAGATCGATTCCACAACATTTCTTTCACAATGCAATCACATAACCAGAACTGTTATGTACCTTTAAGAAGCTAGACTAAAGTAAACAGATATATCTGATGCAATAATAAATGAAATATAACCGTGAATATAAAGATAATACAGAGTTTGATACATAGACTGAAAATATTATTTTAAAAGGTTAGGATTTGTTAGGGTAAATGGGACGCATTCTCAATTATGCAACCATGAGGTAGGGGGCAGGACGGAGAGGGGCTCGTATACGAAGATAGGATGTAGTGGTGTGTGACCCCTATACCCCCCTCCCAATAACTTCTGTCTCTCGTTGTGGTCTGTTTGCTACACTTTCGAAATTATCACCATCGTTTGAATAATGATGA